AGTGATACAAAGTAGTGTGGATTGCTTGGTAAGCTGAACACAAGCAGACTCGGTATTTTAAAATGGCCAAATATAATGTTATACATCTAGGAACAAAGAATGTACACAGTGCCAATAGGATGAGGTCTCTACAAAAGACTTGGGTGGATGATCAGCTGAATATGAGTTCCCAGTGAGATGTTGTGGCCAAAAGGGTTAATGTGATCTTTGAATGTATACACAGAAATATTGTGTAGGAGTAGGGAGGCTTATTATCTCTGTATTTGGCACTGGTGTGACTGTTGCCAGAATACTGTGTCCAGATTTGGTGCCCACAATTCAAGAAGGATGTTGATAATTTAGGGTTCAGAGAAGGGCCACAAAAAATGATTTAAAAACTGGAAAACATGCTCTCGAATGATAGACTCAGGGAGCTCAGTCCATTCAGTTAACAGAGAAAAGGCTAAGTGGTGACTTGATCACAGTCTAATACCTACATGAGGAACAAATATTTGATAATGGGCTCTTCAATCCATCAGACAACGGTATAACAAGATTCAGTGGTTGGAAGATGAGGCTTGACAAATTCAGAGTGGAAATAAGGCACATTTTTAATAGTGAAGGTGATTGGAACAATTTACAAAGGTTTATGGTGGATTCTCCATCACTGGCAATTTTCAAATCAAGATTGGACGTTTTCCTAAAAGATATGCTGCAGTTCAAAGAGAAATTAATTCAAGGGAGTTCTATGGCCTGTGCATAGAATCATAGAGTTAGAAGAGACAGCAAGGGTCATCTAGTCTAGCCCCATCCCAAGATGCAGGATTGGTTGTGTCTAAACAATCCAAGGCAGATGGCTATCCAGCCTCCTTTTGTAAACCTCCAGTGAAGGAGCTTCCACAACCACAGGAGGTCAGACTAGATAATCACACTGGGCCCTTCTGACTTTGTAATTTATGAATTTTTTAGGGAAGGATTCTACAAAATCTGTGAAATGTAGCTCTGTTTTTATTAAAGTGATTGTGGACTTTGCAGTAATAAGCCACTAATGTAACAGGCTAAATAGCCCTAGTGCTGTTGCAGCAGGAGGCATAGAGATGACTGTTGTGATTCACTGGAGAGTAAGAAGCTACAGCATCATAGCTGTGCAGAGGATAGAAAGATGCTTACAGAAGCTATAATGTAACTAGATAACTTGTCGATGTCTTATAACACTTCCAGTTTCCACTGCAAGGCTGGTGGAACAATTATTAGGCAAAGAAAATGAACATCTAGATTTTTCTAATTAAATACTAGCTTTGAAAAATAACCCATGCATTTCACTTTTGCCAGAATTATTTAAAAATAAGAACAGACTTCTATGATGCCATAAACTAATTTGTTTTTCTGTGGCAGAATGTCGGGTTTCCATTTTTTAAATCTGATCTGAAATACCACACCCTAAAAAGCAAAAGCCCATTCTGAAAATGGATGAGAGGCTGTAAATTGGAGAAAGTCCACCACTAGTACACGTTAGTAATTTTATAGTGAGTAGGAATGGATGAGTAGGCTGGTTCAGATGGAATCAGAACCAACCCAAACATCCACCCTAATCTCCAGATGAGCACACAGGAAAAGGTTCCGCAAAGTTGGGCTAACTCTGTGAGGATATGGATACTATATATGTTTTCTTGCATCTTTGTACTTTCTAATTTCAGTTACAGCACCTCTGTTGAGGCCTTGCTGTGTGTGCATATGGGGGTGTAATGACGGAAGAGAGAATTTCTCATGTTACAGTTCTTTGTCGTTTGTCTAAAACAGATTAAAGAAGCATAATTGTGATGATGAAATTAATATCCCCAAATGCCGGGCCAGAATTGGAGAATGCAACTAAATGATCTCTCACATGTTAATTTTCTGGTGGTGAGGAGAACATCTGGAAAATGAATTCATCCAGGCACCAAATAGGTACAGTCTGGCAGAGGCAATGCAAAGATCTTCCACCCCCCCTGACCTGGAGTAAAAGTAAGAAACAAGTGCATTCTCCATGGAGATTTCATCTTGACTTCCCCTACTGAGATTGCCAGCAAGGGTGTTAATTGTAAAGGTGTGTTTTGTGAACACTTGTCCACAAGGACTTGAACTAAGATGCCCAACTCATGGTATAAACATGAATAAAGAGCTGATGGTACTGACTTGTATTCAGCTGGTCTGGTTTTGAAGCAGTGTCCTAGAGATTAAAGGCTTGTATGTGGTCTCTGATTGCTTCCTGACCGTGTACTCTTGTCACTGATCTACCAAGAAATTCAGAAAAGACATTGAACAGGGTATAATGTGTGGAGATTTTTTTTTTTATTGTTTCAGCATGCACCTTGTACAGCAAACAGTAAGGAACTTTACATTTGAGTGACAGTGGGGTTATTTTTTTCCGCTGGTGCTTGATGGTCTTAAAATCTGCAGCCTAGTTCTGATTTATTTTTTTTCTTGTGATGCTGACACATCTGTTCACAAAATACATGATGAAAGGACCGGTGCTTAGGGTTGCCAGGCATCCAGTTTTTGAACGGAATGCCCGGTCGAAAAGGGACCCTGGCTGCTCCAGTTAGCACCGATGACTGGGCCATTTAAAAGTCCAGTGGGCAGCGCAGCAGGACTAAGGCAGGCTCCCTGCCTGCCCTGGCTCTGCACAGCTCCCCCAAAGCGGCCGGTATGTCCAGCTCCTAGGTGCAGGGGCGGTCAGGGAAGCTCCACGTGCTACCCCCAACCTCCAGTGCCATCTCCACAACTCCCATTGGCAGGGAACCGAGGCCAGTGGGAGCTGTGGGGCAGCGCCTGCGGGCGCGGGCAGCATGCACCACACAGAACCGCCTGGCTGCGCCTCCACCTAGGGGCCGGCCACTTCCGGGAGCACTGCGGAGCCCAGGGAGCCTGCCTTAGTCCTGCTGCGCCGCAGACTGGGAGCTGCCTGAGGTAAGTGTCGCCTGGTCGGAGCCTGCACCCCAAACCCCCTGCCCCAGGTCAGAACCCCCTCCCGCCCCCTAACTCCCTCCCAGAACCCCCACCCACATCCAACCTCCTGCCCTATGTCGGAACCCCCTCCTGAACCTAATCTCCCTTCCAGAGCCTGCACCCCAGCCCTGAGGCCCCTCCTGGAGCTCACCCCCCTAACCCCTGCCCAGGTCAGAACCCCCTCCCACACCCTAACTCCCTTCCAGAGCCTGCATCCCCTTCCGCACCCTAGCCCCAGCTCTGAGCCCCCTCCCGGAGCTCACACCCTGTACCCTCTCCCGTACTACAACCCCCTTCCCCAGCCCTGAGCCCCCTCCTGCATCCTGAACCCCCCTTATTTCTGGCCTCACCCCAGAGCCCGCACCCCCAGCTGGAGCCCTCACCACCTCCCTCACCCCAGACAATGTAAGTGAGGATGGGAGAGAACGAGTGATAGAAGGAGGGAGCAGGAGTGAGTGTGGGGCAGAGTCTCAGAGAAGGGGCAGAGGCAGAGCCTTGTGGAAGGGGTGGGGCAAGGGTGTTCAGTTTTGTGCAATTAGAAAGTTTGCAACACTACCTGTGCTATCCATATCAAGAGAGCTAGTCAAACACAATACACATGGAGTACTTTGGATTCCCATTGTATACTGCAGTGAATTGGAAACTGAGTGGACAGCAACAGTCATTTTCAGAGAACAGGCCATCAGTGTAGGCATCAGAGCAGTCCCAAAAGCCTGGACTCTAGTTCCTAGACCTTTCTTTGCTGATGCTAAGTGTCTTTGCAAGATGTGCGCGCTCTCGCTCTCGCCCTCCCTCCCCACTCCCACAAATCTCTTAAGCTCACATGAATTCACTGTACTCCTTCTCTACGGCACCATGGGTCACACCAGTTGCTGATTGTTTTAAGTACACAATCTTTACACATTTTTATCTTCTTTGGTTTGACTTTTTAATATTATATGTCAGATACAGGAGGAAAGAGAGCACTTTAAAAGGTAGACCTGGCATCTACTTCAAAAACTAAACCAAAGCAGAGATATAATTCCAAAAGCTAGACTTTACAAAAATTCTGCACCTTTAAAAGGTACATATATTGTTTGCGGAGTGTTTAGAATCCTATAAAGTAAATGCTAATGGCTTGATTTTTCAGAAGGGTGACAGGGTTCATGCACATTTCTGCACATGTCTTTGTGTACTGGGTGCAATCAGCCCTTCTTCAAACTCAAGTAAAGTATGCTGCCGTGTATGTACATACAGCGGCGTATTATCGCCTAGGCCAACAAATTTGCAGGGGCGGCAAATTTCTTCGTGCCTCCTCCCCAACTCCACCCCTTCCCCAAATCCCCGGCCTGCCTCCTCCCCTAGGCGCGCCACGCTTCCCTCCTTCTACCTCCCTCCCAGGCTTGCCGCGCGAAAGCGCTGGGAGGGAGGGAGAAGCGAGTAGCGGCGCGCTCGGAGGAGGCGGAGCAGAGGTGAGCTGGGGCCCGCGGGCGTGGGGAGTAACCCGGGGGGGGGGGGGGACCGCCCCCCCCCCCCGGGCTTGCCGCAGGGGGGCGGGGGGGAGCTTGGGCGGGGGGGGGAGAGGAGAGGGGGCAATTTTTAGAGGGCATAGGGGCGGCAAATTTGTTAATCCGCCACTGTGTACATAGTTCCAGTAATTATGTAGGTAAAGTTGTTACAGAAGGATGCATTTAGATGTCTGGCCTTGACTTTCTGAAAATCAACCCCCAAATGTGCATTATGCTCTTTTTCAGCAAACTTGAATGCTGAATTTTTAACCTACTTTCTGTAAAACAAAAACCATTCAAACTCCCCAGGAAATTGACTGATGCATGAAAACAAACAAAACAAAAAAACACCACCAAAAAATCTTTGAATAGTTCTCATGCAATCCCTGGGATCCCACATATCTGTTTTATTTTATATCTAACACATGGTAATCCGTGGTATATAAACTCAGACAACATATCTCTTCTCTAGAACTCTGACCACTGAACATGGTACATTTTAAGAATTACAAAATACAGACTGAGAAGGCAGAGTGTGGGGAAACTTCAGCTTGTTTTTTTGTGGACCATTATATGTTTGTTTTGTATTGCCAAGCAGAAAGTACAGAAACATATTGACTGACTTTCACCATGATGATAATCAGAACTCCACCAGTCAACATAAGGGAAGGCCAGAGGAAAGCGAAGAAAAGGCCCTTTGGAGGATATAGCCTTATTAAAATGACACTTGTCTGTCTTTGTTCTGGGTCGTAATAACAAGGGAAAGTCTGATGCTTTCGGAAATTTTCTGCGGCAGTTTCTATTAGCATTTTAACTTCTTTGTCGTTCTTCAAGTCTCGTGGAATATAGGAGCACTAAAATGAGAAATCAAGATACTTGTTAGAGCAATTGTTCTACTGCAGGATGTGCAGTGATGCGAGACCTTTCTTAAAACATCACTTAACTAGTTCAAATAAAAGATTACGTGCACACATGAGAGTATCTCTAAATATTGTCTTGCCGTTATCTTGTCCATCCCCCACCTATTTGTTATCTCCTGTCATACACTGAGCCCCCAGTCCTGCAAAGGGTTACACACACGTGTAACTTGATGCATGTGAATAGCGATTTGGAGTTGGGATGGAGTTTCCCCCAAGGTCAGATTGGCAGGGACCTTTTTTTTGCTTTATTCTGAAGCATAGGATGTGGGTTGCCTGGTAGGATCATCTGGACATATCTCACCTAATCAACTCTCTACCATTGCAGGGGCATTGGACATTGGGAACACCTCAGTCCCTCCTGTTCTCTGCCTACGGCACACAAATAGTTCAGTGTCCTGAGGACTGAAATGCTTTCATCTAACTAAAGACAGTGGGTTCAATATGAGGGGTATCTGGGTGAAATTTAGTGGCCTGTGGAGGTCAGACTAATGGTCTGATCTAAAGGTCTATTCTGGCCTCAAGCTCTATGATTCTATGAAAAAGTTTTATTGGAGCCAATGGTACAGCTCCTGCTCTTGGAGTGAAGCCCATGCATAATTTTTTACAAAGCTCAGGGCCTTAGATTTTAAACATAGAGACAAGGGCTGTACTTTTTCTCTGTGTACACAGCACCTAGCTCTATGGGCCCTGACTGGGGTTTCTGTCACTACCACAGTACAAATACATTAGTTGTACAGAAATTCCTAAATGGGCTGGGCTGGAAGGGAGCAGAGACAGTGGAACAAAGGTATTTCACTGCTGATAGTGCTTTCATAGTCATAAGTTAGGTGCTCCATGGCAGCAGTGGTAGACTATCTTGCGGTGCTGGAGTAGGCTAAATTCCAATTATCCAAGAGTACACGGCCAGTATTTGAGTTACTTCAGCGTGAGCCTCTCTCTGTAATTAGTGAAAGATGATGACCTACTTTTCCACTGGGGGAGAGAGTATTTTTAATTGGTTACACTATGAAACAACGTTGTAGCTCTCTAATGCAGGGGTCGGCAACGTTCGGCACGCGGCTCACCAGGGTAAGCACCCTAGCGGGCCGGGCCAGTTTATTTACCTGCTGACGCGGCAGGTTCGGCCAATCGCGGCCCCCATTGGCCCGGGATGGCGAACCGCGGCCAGTGGGGGTCGCGATCGGCCGAACCTGCCGTGTCAGCAGGTAAATAAACTGGCCCGGCCCGCTAGGGTGCTTACCCTGGCGAGCCGCGTGCCGAACGTTGCCGACCCCTGCTCTAATGCAAGAAATAGGTAGTGATCAATGTTATTTTATTTGTATTAATGTAGCACCTCTGGGTTCTAAATGTGATTAGTACCCCATTATGATAGGTACTAAATGCGCACACACCCGGTGCAGGATAGTCCCTGTACTGCAGAGCTTGCAGTCTAACTAGGTGAGACAGAAAAGAGCTGAGAGGGGAAATGAAGTCAGAGGTGCATTTGCTTTCTCATTATAACACAGGAGTTCAGTGGCAGAGTAGGGAGCAGAGCCCCATTCTTCTGAGCGTCAATCCATGTTCCTATCCATTGGGCTCACACTGCCTTTCAGAGTAAAGGTGTTGCTGGATTCTTAATTCAGCTGTCTGCTGAAAGCCATTCTTTGCCTCTGTAACTGGCTAACTTAATGGACAAGGGGAGAAAGCAGAGATCAGCTATCCAGTTGTACCTTCCTCATGGACAAGCAGGGGGCTTTCAAATGTAATTGAGAGTCTATTTAAAGAGGCATAAAATCCATTCATTGCTCTTAGAAGACAGCTTGGCAAAAACTGTGCTGACAGGCTTAATTTATTGAAGAAATTATACTTCCGTTCAGGTTCACGATGTTTATTGCACCATTTCATTAGCACCCATTAAAGTGGGTTGGCTAAAATAAGAGTCCTTTACCCAAATCCCAGCTATTAGTTTGGAATGCTGACATTAAATTGCTGGAAATGCTATTTATTTCGGAGCATTAATCCACAGGCCATTTTGAGGTTCTCGCAGTACTACTTTTTTCCATTTCTGTCATCTGTTTTCACCTCTTGAGCAGATAGTGTTTGTTGATCAGTTTAGCCTAACCTGGCAGTAATTTTAAAATTTCAGCTGTAAAAATGCAGAAGCTTTATCCCAAAACCGATAACCGAAACAAAATCAGATTTTTTTCCCCAAGCCAACAGTGACTACAAGACATTGAAAACCTGAAAGAAAATCCTCTATGTGCAAAAATAAAATTGGCCCCATAAAACAATAACATTTATCTCACTGCAAATGAGATGTTTCAGGACTGCCCTTTGATAGAGCAAGGCCTGAAGTTCATGTAGACAGGCTGAAACTAACCCCTGTGCAGAGATTCACCTTAAAGTATATGTACCATTAAAGGTCCAGGTAATTCTCATAATAGGGCTTAACTGGGGTTTCTCTGGTGCATAAGGACTTGTTCTGGCCTCCTACAGAGGGATGAGTATCACCCACTGTGCTGAATATTGGACCCTAAGAGTCAACCGCTGCCCTTGAACTTGCTCTCACAGCCTGCCTTATGGAAAGGAGAGTATTCAGTGCACTGTCCCTAAATGTCTGAGATTCCCTATAGTTGGAGTTTCACAGGGAGCAGAGAAATTTTTTCCCCAAAGCTAAAGGTTTTGTATGTTTACTTAATTTTTAATCTTGACATCTTAAATCCACTTCAAATCTGTGAAAAACATTTTAATATAAAAGCTAAATTGGCCACATTTTCAAGGAAGCGTTGACCAAGCCTCTACATTTAAACAGATTTTTTTTCTTCTTGCTATCACTTGTGTGCGCAGCCCCTGTAATTGTGCCTGCGAGTAGCAATTCTGTACAACGAGATACTACATGTAGCTTTTCTACAACACTGATCTTAGAATTGCCATATGTTTGAACTATATAGGAATATAGACCTTGTATTTGCAAAGCTTGCAACAGCCTTTGAAGATTGACCCTCCACATTTCCAAGCTCCAAACTATCTGCATGTTTAAATCCCATAGTGCTTCATAATGTTTAATATATATTCTTCAGTCTTGAAGTGGACTTTGAAGTGATGATTGACCCAAGCTGCTAAATTCAGATATGGAATTTCCCAAAGTCTTGGAAGGGTCAAGGGCACCTGGCATTTTGGTTTGGGTCCTTCTCTTATTTTGATGATATGTCAAGGAAATAAAAATCTCCTAAACTAATCCTTACTGTTTTTCTTATGTGCACTCTGTAGTAATTCTGTGCTTTTAACATTCAAAACTCACTCTACTCACAACACTGTTTCTTACTCAAAAGCAAGTACAAGACAGCATAATGGACTGAAGGCATATCTACAGCAATCCTACACTTTCTCCCCACATCTCACTTTCAACCATTCTGCAATGTATGAAATGTCAGTCTTTCCATGAAACTGGCAGTTCATTCACATACCGTACATTCAGACCCAGGCATTCTCTCTCACACACACATTTTTTGCTTCCTATCATATTCTCTGTTGGAATTGTTTATTCCCTCTTAAAGCTAGCTTGCTGAGTGAGATTATGAATTTTAACTTCACATGCAAGAAAAATTTCAGTGAATTTTCAGGAATTCGCTGCAGGGTGATATTTTGCTGTTTCTATGGTTGAAAATGTTTCCCTCCCCTTCACTGAAAATGGTGTAATTCTGGAGGTTTGGTTCAACTTGCTATAAAGATTGGGGACAAATTGCAGAATTCAGGCCTATATTCTGGTTTGGGTTTTGAACATCCTAAAGTTCAGGGGTGCTTGGATCTGAACATTTTGGTTTGCACCTGCCCCTTGAGAGTCGAGAGCTTGTTTTTGTGAAAAAAGCAGCCACTGAAATCTTCCCCATATTCAGGAACCAAATTCAACCCTCATCATCTTGGCTGTTCTGAAATGGTTTCTTCACTTCCAGTGGCAGGCTGGGGGTCCATGATAAAACACTACAAGACAGTTGATTCCAGACAGGTGCACAAGTGGAGGTATTGGAAATGACATGAGGACATGTTTCTTTGACTGCCATCCCAGGTTTGATCTGCCAAGTTATTCAAGACTTTGGACACTCCCTTGAAGTGAAGCTGAACTCCCAGCTGTCATGGTTCCCATCGCCCTTACGGGAATGGAGCTCCACCACAATACACGGTGCAACCTCTGCACAGGTTTTGTTTCAGTAACACTCCCATCTATTCAAGGGTATTTCCAAGCCCAAGTTTCTGTTGTGACAGTGGGTAGAAACAGTTGCAGATTACACCAAGAACAAACCCAGCTGCTGGATTGGGTGCCCACATTCCCAGTTTATTGGCTTCTACCTGACGTGTACCAAACTCACTGGTGTTTCACGTTCCCAAAGGCTCTGGGACTCCACCTTTTCCTCCTTCTACCTCCCACCTTATTTCCTGCACTCCCCAAATGGGAGTGAACTTTGGGGCTCTGTGTTTTTAATCAGGGCCACATTTAACCTCAACCTACCCCAGGGTTATTCAACAAACGCTTGGGCAAACCACACGTGTTGATCTATTCCTCTGAATTGTGCTTCAGCTTGCAGAGATGTATGTATATTTTATGCTTATAAATGTTTAATAGTTATTTTTGGTTGATGTAATTGCTTCTCAAATATTACCTTAAATATGTCTGATACCGCATTTATAATACATGCCAGATATGTCCTCACTCTGAATTTTTTAACATTTGCCTTGGTCTAAGCATAAGCATTGCCATGAAGAAAGACTAACAAGTCTGTGCTCTACTTTCAGTTAATTCACTAGTGCTTTGCTTGGTTATAAAAATAACCTGCTGAACCACATGTGACAAATATGGACTGGGATTCTGATGAATACATTTAAATCCCAGTACCTTGGGATTTCTTTCCTGTGTTTCTTCATTATGATAGAGCATAACCTCTTGTCCTGAGAAGTTCAAATCAACCAACACCTCTAGACAAGGATACTGGAAAATGTTTTCGTCGCCTGCACCATTGTTGAACGAGCATTGGACTTTGTCCTTGATGTTGGTTTTGAGCAGTTTGCATGTAGTTTCTTTGGTCCAAACACTATAAAACAAATCATACTGCTTTTAAATGCTTTGTTTACAGCTTTTTCACAGCGTGACTCTGTCTAAGCGTTGTTGACAAATTTTCCACCATGGTGTTGTTTCATGTGTCATTAAGCCGTCAGCAGTGTGGTGGGCTGGGGGTGTGGATGGAGTGTGTATGCAAGTGCTCTGAGCCAAACCCAAACAGACAGATAGCATGGGTTGGGGTTAGAGGCACTGCAGGGAAGATATGGATTTTTACTCACACATTAGCCATTCATTGGATGGATTTAGAGGTAGATTTTAACTCCCATGCTTGGATGTGTTGGAAGTTGGCATCCCCCAAAAGAACAACAGAAAAATTAGGGTGGGTTTGTGTGAATTCTAATATTTGTTGGTAAATATTTTAAATGTGGATGCATGTGTTTTTATCTATGCACTTGCAGAGACCTGAATGAAAATTTGACCTATGTTCTGAAATATAGTTTAGCATATTAGAGCTTTAGATCAGAGGTGGGCAAACTTTTTGGCCTGAGGACCACATCTGGGTATGGAAATTGTACGGCGGGCCATGAATGCTCACGAAATTTGGGGTTGGGATGCGGGAGGGGGTGAGACCAGAAATGAGGAGTTCAGGATGTGGGAGAGGGCCCCGGACTAGGGCAGGGGATTGGGGTGCGAGGGGGGGTGAAGGCTCCAGCTGGGGGTGTGAGCTCTGGGATGGGGCTGGGGATGAGGGATTTGGGGTGCAGGAGGGTGCTCTGGGCTGGGACCAAGGGGCTCAGAGAGCAGGAGGGGGATCAGGGCTAGGGCAACCTTTGACTAATGTTGGGGCACAGGAGGGGATCAGGAGGTGCAGGCTCTGGGTGGTGCTTACCTCAAGCAGCTTCCAGAAGCAGCAGCGTGTCCCCACTTTGGCTCCTATGCAGAGGCGCTGCCAGGCGGTTCTGCGTGCTGCCCCATCCACAGATGCCACCCTTGCAGCTCCCATTGGCCGCAGTTCCTGGCCAGTGGGAGCTGGGGGGGCAGAGCTTGGGGCGGGGGCAGCATGTGGAATCCCCTGGCTAGGAGGACGCGTAGGAGCTGGAATGGGGACTTGCTGCTGCTTCCGGGAGCCATGGCATGTGTGGAGTAGGACAAGCCCCAGACCCCACTCCCCGGCAGGAGCTCGAGGGCCAGATTAAAACATCTGAAGGGCTGGATGTGGCCCCCGGGCTGTAGTTTGCCCACCCCTGCTTTAGATGCTTCAGAAAAATAAAAAACCTTTGACTAATGTTGTCTGATAACCAGGGCCGACGAGAGGGGGGAGAAGCCGGTACAAATTACTGGGGCCCGGCGGTCCGGAAGGGGGCCTGGGGCCCGGTTCTCCCCCCCACACCCGTTGGCCCTGTTTAGCCAGTCCACCCTTGCTGGGGGGCCCCAAAAAATTCCGGGCCCAGCTTCCCCGCTCTCTTGTTGGCCCTGTTTAGCCGGTCTGCCCTTGCTGGGGGGCCCAAAAAAATTTTTTCACCGGGGCCCAAACCCACTTTCGGCGGCCCTGCTGGTAACTCTCAAATCCTATGTTTACTGGGGGTTTTCACTTCTTTGTCTTTCTATTAAAAGGGTCATTTGCATGATTGAATACACAGGAACTCTGCACGAGGCTTTCAACAGCTTTTTTTACTAAGCATATCACTGAATGTTGTTAACAGCTGTGGCAAGCTAGGAACTTCATGGCTATCATTATGCTGCACGCTGTGGCCACTCAGATCTTCACGGTGACAGCAAGGATAAAACTTTATCAGCCTGATCCAAAAGCCCAAGCCCCCTATACTGGGTGCTAAAAGAGGATCCTAGCAACAGAGGATTTGTGTGTATGTGTATCTATGGATATAAATCTACTTACACAGAGAAATATGTCCATAAAAAAACAAAAATACACATGCTTACTGGTATGATAGATATCAAATTAGGAATTGAACTGGGGACCTCTAGACCCTAGCAGGGACTGCAACTAACTTGTATCCTTTGCAGATTGATTGTGCATTTTTCCATGGTATGTGTTTGGGAAGAGAACCTGTAATTAGCTCTGATGGGTGGGCTACAGTAGTTCATTACAAAATGCATCCAGTCGTTAAATAGTTAAAGCTCAGGGCTGTGGACCTGGCTTATTTGCCAAAGGTCATACATTCTTGCTAGGGCTAGTTTGAATAGTTTCATCTAAACTTTTTTTTTTTAAAGGAAATATGGCTTTTGGATACCACACAACTATTGTTTCTATTTTTGTTGAAGTTTTGCAGCGTTTTTCGTTAAACTGAAAAATGTTTGTTTTCAAAACCAAAAGCCAAAATGTTCTCAGTGAAAACCCTGAAAAATTCCATGAGAAACATTGACCAAAATAAAAGTTTTTTTCATTTTTTTTCTAAACTTTTCACAGAAAATTAAAATGCATTTCTGGACCCGCCGTGATTCTAATCCTGAAAGGATGTCTTGCTGTGTCAGGTGCTTCCCCATAACTCTATTAACTATTCATGATTAACAGCTTCCCTCCCCACTTCATGCTATCTAAAATCAGCTTGTAAGCTCTTTACGGCAGTATCCTTTGATTTGTTCTGTAAACCACCTAAGGCACTTTTGGGCTCCACAAAAATAATAACCAACAACAGAAAAACACAGGCTGATGTTTATAACAAAAAAAGAACAGAAGTTACCTGTTCACGTAGGATGGCATAATTGTGATCCCAATAAAAAAGTACATCATCACTGAGCATGCAACCATTCCTAGTCCCAGGCATAATGCCCTGGTCTCCCCTCGCTTCTGTGAGGTCACCAATTTTTTCCCCAACATGATTTAGTGTTATGGATTCTGAGATTTCTCGTTCTGGAGTGAAACATAAAACAGGGGAAAATGCAACCAGAATCATCGTAGATTTAGTATTAGATTTAATATAAACTCTTAAGAGGCTTTGATTCAAGATATTGCAAATTGTGAGGGGTTTAGTGAAACCTGATCCATTACATTCTTATTCTCATTAAAATTTAGAAGGCAGTCAAGTAAGTCCAGTAAAAGAAAATACTGACTCCAATTTTTTTTTAAAAAAAGGCTCCAGAGGTGATTCCGGCAATTACAAGCCAATAAGCCTAACTTTCAACCAATTTGCCTGGTACTAGACTGTAGTAAAGAACAGAATTATCAGACACATAGATGAACACGGTTTGTTGGGGAAGAGTCAAGATGATTTTTGTACAGGGAAATCATGCCTCATAATCTACTAGAATGCTTTGAGGGGGGTCAACAAGCATGTGGACAAGGATGATCCAGTGGATATAGTGTACTTAGATTTTTGAGAGAGCCTTTCACAAGTTCCCTCACCAAAAGCTCTTACGCAAAGTAAGCTGTCCTGGTATAAGAGGGAAGGTCCTCTCATGGATCAGTAATTGGTTAAAAGATAGGAAATGAAGGGTAGGAATAAATGATCAGTTTTCAGAAAGCAGAGATGTAAATAGTTGTCTCCCAGAGGTCTCTATTGGGACCAGTACTCTTCAACATATTCATAAATGATCTGGAAAAATGGGGAAACAGTGAGGTGGAAAAATTTGCAGATGATACAAAACTACTCAAGATAGTTAAGTCCCAGGCAGACTGCGAAGAGTTGCAAAGTGATCTCACAAATCTGGGTGACTGAGCAACAAAATGGCAGATGAAATTCAGTGTTGATAAATGCAAAGTAATGCACATTGGAAAACATAATCCCAACTATACATACAAAACAATAGGATCTAAATTAGCTGTTACCACTCAAGAAAGATCTTGGAGTCATTGTGGATAGTTCTCTGAAAACATCCACTCAATGTGCAGCAGCAGTCAAAAAAGTGAACAGAATGTTGGGAATCACTAAGAAAGGGATAGATAATAAGACAGGAAATATCATATTGCTTCTATATAAATCCATGGTATGCCCATATCTTGAATACTGCATGCAGATCTGGTCATCCCATCTCAAAAAAGATATATTGGAACTGGAAAAGGGACAGAAAAGGGCAAAAAAAAATTGATATGGGGTATGGAACAGCTTCCATATGGAGAGAGTAATAAGACTGGGACTGTTCAGCTTGGAAAAGAGATGACTGGGGGGAGGGGGGATATGATTGAGGTCTATAAAATCATGAGGGGTGTGGAGAAAGCAAATAAGGAAGTGTTATTTACCCCCTCTCAGAACATAAGAACTAGGGGTCACCAAATGAAATTAATAGGCAGCAGGTTTAAAACAAACAAAAGGAAGTATTTCTTCACACAACGCAGAGTCAACCTGTGGAACTCTTTGCCAGAGGATGTTGTGAAGGCCAAGACTGTAACAGGATTCAAAAAACTAGATACGTTCATGGAGGATAGGTCCATCAATGGCTATTAGCCAGGATGGTCAGGAATGCAAAACAATGCTCTGAAGTGTCCCTAGTCTCAGTTTGCTGGAAGCTGGGAATGGGATGGGATGGATCACTTGATTACCTGTTCTGTTCATTCCCTCTGAAGTACGTGGCATTGGCCACTGTTGGAAGACAAGAAGTGAGGTTTTTACTCACGAAAGCTTATGCCCAAATAAATCTGTTAGTCTTTAAGGTGCCACCAGACTCCTTGTTGTTTTGGCTAGATGGACCATTGGTTTGACCCAGTATGGCTGTTCTTATGTATTGTACTGTGTGAAATACCCAGTTTGACAAATTCAGTGCTACAGGGAGTCATGGACTATGTTCCCTCTAAGCTGTGCAGTTGGACGTCCGCCCAGGAGTGATTCAAGTGCCGGCAGTGTGTGTTAAGGTGCCCCTACCCCTGCTGCCCTGCAGCCACATTTCTCCTGCCCTCTGCCTTGGAGCCCTTGCTGCTCCTGGGACCCTCCTGCTGGTTGTGCGATCGGCGGTGGCAGTTCAGCGGCAGGTCCTTTGCTCCTAGAGGGAGTGAGGGACCTGCTGCCCCCGAATTGCCGCAGGTGCCGCCCCTCTCCCTTGGCCGCCCCAAGCACCTGCTTGTTAAGCTGGTGCCTGGAGCCGGCCCTGGACAGGGCTCAGGATTCGGAGAGGGTCTGAGGTCTGAAGGAGCCTTCTGGGCGGTGAGTGAATGCCGTAAAGAGACAGCACAAGGTCTCTCAGAGACTTCCCCAGCAGCCAGCACACACAATCTCTCTCTCTTCCCCCCTGCCCACATACCCCATCTTGCAGAGCGGGGGAGGGGAGACAGAGCTCAGGAGCAGCTGAGCTTTCAGTGAGAGTGCCTTAAAGAGACAGCACATGGTGTCTCTCAGAAACTTCCCCAGCAGCCAGCACACACCCTGTTTCTGTGACTCACTCACTCACCTCCCAGCACATACCTGTATTATTGTTGTTGTTACTTCTTTGTACTTCCTGCAATGCACATATATTCTGTGTAATTTTATTCTTTCAAAGTGCTGTTATTTTAGTTTTTTGACTGGTCTATGCATTTCATAATTTTTATTTCTCTCTTACACTTAAATTTAATTATTTGAGAAGTGAGTTCTAAAATGCAGGGCTTTGGAACGGAGCCCGGAGCTGAAGCACAGAGCAGCTCCAGAGCAGTGGAGCTGCAGGTTTTTTCCTGGAGCTGGAGCGGAGCCGGAGCACAGCTCCAAAGCCCTGCTAAAATGCCTAACCTGTCCTGGTTGGAGTAATTATCCCTAGGGCGGGAGAAGTGGCGCGGGCGAGCGATGTGCTGGCTGCGGCTTCTCGGCCCAGTGGGGGCCGCGATCGGCCGAACCTGCCGCGTCAGCAGGTAAATAAAACTGGCCCGGCCTGCCAGGGTGCTTATCCTGGCGAGTCGCGTGCTGAACGTTGCCGACCCCTGGTGTATATGGATATATATTCTAGGGTTGTATGAACTATTGGCAACAAAATGTGGAAACTTCAGAAATTATGTTCACCTAAACCTGCTGTGATTAGGATTGGACAGTGATTTAGACATTTCTACCTAGTCAGCACCAGCATTCAATTCATTGCTATTGCTGGTGGTAGTGCAACAGTGGGGAATGTTAAGAAAAATGCTAATCTAGGATGGGCAGGAATGCATCCTTAGAGTTCTTCTGTATAATTGACTGAACTTAGGGGTTTGGAATGTTCTTATCCCCCTTTGTTAAATAGAAGTCTACATGATAACCTCCCTGGTACTGATGATGATTGCTATGGAATTGCAGCAATTGAAATTAATGAGTTCTGAAAATTACTGCTATTCATCCATATTCTCTATGCCAATTTAGCGTGATCGATGTTTAGCAAATAAGAATGGTTGAAGTTCACAGTCCACAGTATGGTTGAAGTTCACAGCTGGGAGTGTATATATATGCCATTGATGGCCATCACTAGTATAATTTTTTTAATGGAAATATGGTGTAAACCACACTTGCAGAAATCATATTTTCAGCAGACTGACAGGATTTGCTGGGGGTGGGGAGGGAGACAGTAGAGAAGTGGGGTGGGGGAATAATCCAGCAGGCTGAATTAAACCCACATAGCCCCAGTCCTTCAGTTTGTTGTACATGGATTATCCTTGAATCCATACAGCTTCATGCTGATGTCACAGAGTCTTTGCACAGGCTCAAGGGTTTGCTTAGGTGGAGTCAATTGTCAGCTTAGAGCAAACATCTTCTAGTCAGAGTTTAAAAGAGGCAGCTACTTACCATGTTTAGAGTTACCATCTTTCAACACTGAAAAAAGAGGACACTCCACGGGGGCCCTGCCCCCGCCCCAACTCCGCCCCTTCCCCGGCCCCGCCCCAACTCCACCCATTCCCAGCCCCCATTCCAACTCCTTCCCCAAATTCCCCACCCTAACTCTGCCCCCTCCTCTGAGCACCCCGTATTCCCCCTCCTCCCTCCCGCTCTGATCTTGGTTGGGGGTTGCTAAGTGCTTCATAAACTGTAAAACGTTAGTAGGTTTTACAAAGTGAGGGTGAAACAGAGAAAAGTCTGTGAGCAAAACAAGCTGCTAGTGAGGGAGACATGGTTATCTATATGAGATGTTTTTATTTAAGAATCCATGGTAATACAAATAGTGATGATGATGATGATGGTGGTAATGCTACAAATAAGCAGTTAAGATTGGGACCTTATTCTAAACAAGAAAATAAATCTAAACCGTGGAGAATGCAATGAAAATTAATATTGATTATTAGGAATAATGGTGAGGTAGGAATAGCATCATGATGGTCAAGGAGAAGGGATTCCGCTAGGGCCAGGCAGTAACCATGGTTCTATTTAGTATTTTTGTCAAGGCACATTCACTGCTTAAATACAGTTCTCTGGTTTAGTTATTTGGTACAGTAACTTGCAAACCGTGAAACCGGTAGCACTCCAGCAAAAGACGCTCAGGGGACCCCGAGTGCGAGTGGCTGCAGCAAAACTAACAACTCGCACCGAGATGATGTCACAGCGGGCAGCCCCCACCCACACACACAAATTCGGAGAGCCTTAATATAGTTGAAATACACTGAACTGCAGATTTTTGGATTGACAGAATGGAAAAAATAGCTACTATATTGCTAAAAATTAAGGACAGCTGTTAGTGTACAGGACTTCTGGCACTGCATTTCTGACTATACCACTGCCTCATTGGGTGACCCTGGGCAAGTCACTAAGGCCTGCTCTACACACAGATTTTGTGCCAAGGTAACTATTTTGGTTAGGGGTATAGTTTTTTTTAAACCAATTTAGTTATCCCAGTACAACCGCAAGTGTGGATGTAATTCTATACTGGTACAAGCACTTTGATACCAAGTCCATGCCAGGAAGTTGTCCCACTTTCATTATACTGGTACTGTTAAAATGAGAGAATTTTCATGCACCACCAAGGCCTTACACTCGATCTGTTTCCACCTAT